TAAGAGGACGGAAAAGCTCCCACAGTGGAAAGGGACCTGAAGGGGTTGCCCACTTCAGTCATTACACAGGGGCAGCAATGAAGTTTCTCACTCTCCTGCCTGCACTGAGAACTTGAAAATAACTTTGCCTCTGAGGATAAAACCCTAAAATTCACCCACACGGCAGCCATGGGAGTGTACCACATAAGTCTTTCCCTCCAAAAGGGACTCTGCCATGAGGTCTGTCATTAGCTGGCAGCCTCCATCTGCCACACCTTTGGGATCTGTTCCATAGTACGTGCCAAGGCCACACTCTACCCAGGTTGCTCCCAGCCGATGACCAAGCAAGGCAGGGGTGGTAGAGCCAGGATGCGCCCCCCAACTTGGGTTTCCTATAGAAAGCCATCTTTGCTAGAACTCCTCATTGCCCTGGCCAAGATTTTACTCAGGGTTGCACTACAATCTGGGCTTGCCAATCCGATCCCCCTCCTCTCCCTGCCTCCTCTCAAAGGGGTCAGTCCTGCATTGCAGTCTGAAGTAGGCATTTCGCCCCATAAGTCTCTTGCAAATCAAATTCCATATTGGTGTCTGTTTTTCAGAGGATCCAAAACAACACAAAGCAAATGAGACTAATTTTTAGAAGACCCTAAAGGGCATTCTCAACGGTAGGTGCAGGAACCAGGTGTGTTCTATCCAACGCTGTTATCTCCAGAACCTAGTGTAGCATTTGGCATAGAGTCAGCTCTCAATAGCTTGAAGGAAGGAAGGAAGGAAAGAGGGAGAGGGGAGGGAGAGAAGGAAGAAAGGGAGAGAAGGAAGCAGAAAGGGAGGAAGGAGGAGAGGGAAGAAGGATGGGAGGGAGGAGAGGAAGAAGAAAAGATTTTGGGGTTAGCTGGGACTGAAAATCTAATCAAGCCTTAGAGAATGTTTTTAAAAAGCTGTAGCATTAGAAGGAAAATATGTAGGCCGAGGAGGGTGGTCAGTTTGGAATTTAGAAAAGGGAGTTCCAGCCAGGCTCGTTGGCTCAGCCTGTAATCCTGTGCCTTTGGGAGGCTGAGGTGAGTGGATTGCCTGAGCCCGCGGGTTCGAGACCCACCTGGGCAGCGAGACCTCATCTCTACAATAAAATAAAAAAATCAGCTGGGTGTGGTAGTGCATGTCTATAATCCCGGCTGCTCAGAAAGCTGAGGCGGAAGGATCGCCGGAGCCCAGCAGGCGAAGCTGCGGTGGCCAGGAGCGGCCACTGCACTCCAGTCTGGGCAACCGAGTGAGACTCCAAAAAAAACTCAAAAAAAAAAGAAAAGAAAAGGGAGTTCCAAAGAGTGAAAATGTGTGAGTGTGTCTCCAGTATCATCTGGGAGGGACATGTGTACTTACACATTCATCCATGCATCCATATCTACATATGCATAAATGATCATATTCAGTAAGTAATATGTATATTATGCATATACTTATATGCCCGTCATTTTGCTCAGAATATATAGTATATACAAATAATACCTAAATATGCCAGCAAAGTAAAAGGGAAATGAAACAAACAAAAAAATCTCTAGATACTGCAATGGAAACATGACCAATTGAGAAAACAGAGACAATTGCCAACACCAGGCACAGAGACAGTGCTTCCGTGGCTCTGACAGCCCATTTGCACAATCAGTCCTACACAGTGGCCAGAAGACGCCTGTCATTAGCGTCTGGCAAAATCCCCAGTTAAGAAGTATCAATTCCAACGTCTCAGAGAAAAAGGTCTGGACTCGATCAAGAACTGTAATCCTATCAAATTCAATCAAATGGGTAAACCTCATGCTGATTTTTAAAATTAATAACCATTTAATACCCACAATAGACATGCGTTGATATTCAGGCATTTAGGTTTTATTTAGAATTTACTTGTTATGATGTTCTTTCCCACATAGATCTTCTTTTGCAATTATCTTGGCAGAAAAAAATGCACATTCGGGGTTCTACTTGTTTCTCAGGAAAAATGAAGTTTATGTCAGGATTATTTCAAAAGCATTTGTAAGTCTGTAAAATGTTATCAAAAATTTAAGGACTAAGGACTCAGGACACATACTCTATACTAGCTGTATTAATATTATGGATTTAGGACTGTGTTCATAGCCATAATTATGTACATTATACATATTGTTCTCTTAGCTCTCTTTTACACTCAGTTCTCTTTTAAGCTAAAGAGAAATAAAGAATTTCTAAATTACTCAGCCTCGTACGTCTGATGCCTTTGCTCGCATATAATATTTATTTGGATACTGCCTTTTCAGTGGCTCTCTTCCTTTTGCAGAAGCAATAACCCTTAAGCAATCTCGCAACACATAACAAACCAGTTCAAATGGGAGATTCAAACTATTTTATTCCAGGTGTTTAGTGAGTAGCAAATATGAATCTTTTCCTCGAGGAACAAATGAAGATATATTTGAATTGCGGTAGATTGTTGACTCTGCCACGATCAGAATGGGATTCTCCAAAGGGCAGCTTAGAAGGCCAATGAGTAAAGAGAAAGCTACCTGTGAATGGAGTTCAGATAGAGGAACAGCCACTATCATTCCTCCCGGGAGTCATCAATCCGCCTCTTATTACAGCCATGTAGACACTAATATCATTATCATTGATCTTTTTTATTGGTGACTTTTCTAAAAAGCAAAAGAACCAGAAGGACTTAGAATTAAGACAAACTCTTCAGATCCCTGGGGAATAATTGTATCACAGAAGAGACAAAAGGGAGGGGAACTGAAGGGACACTAGTGTTATCTTTTGGGCAAAATTAAGGGTGATTTTCTTTTTTATCTTTTTATAAATATTTTCTGGTTTTTATATAGTAAGTGGGTATTTCCTTTAGACTCAAGGACATTTTTAATTAAAAAACAAAAAGAAGAGATGGTTACTGAGGATGGACACCCACACCACTTAAGAAAAAGCTTCAGTTTTTATTCCTTGGTATGGATTAGGGATCAGATGCTGATACCAAACTCTTGCCCTGAGATTTGAGGACCAGTGACTGAGGAGAACACAGGGACCCCAGAGGTATCTGGAGGAAAGAGATCTGGGCTGATACCCTCTCGTGCTCCAAATACTTCTTGCTCCCTACTCCTGGCTCCTTGTTAGCAGACATCCTTGGTGGCATGCCTCCCACCTTTGGGGATCCCAGCCCTTCACCAGGGGATATCTGTTGCATTGCCTTCTTTGCAGACAACTACTAGCTTGGAATGATTCATGAGTATGAGTCACGTTGAGTCCTGGTGGAGACAGTCAGATGAGTTAGCTACAAAATGTACCCAACCAGTTAAATGAGTCAATCTACTGGATGAGGTGATTTAAATGTGATGACTACACCAAACAAATAAAAAGATATTTGTTAGCCAGGCACAGTGGCTCATGCCTGTAATCCCAGCACTTTGGGAGGTGGAAAGGAAAGGACTGCCTGAGCCCATGGGTTTGAGACCAGCCTGAGCAACATAGCAAGATCTCGTCTCTACAGTAAATTACAAAAAAAAAATAGCTGGGCATGGTGGCACATGCTGGAAGGATCGCCTGAACCCCGTAGGTTGAGGCTGCGATGGCCATGAGTGTGCCACTGCACTCCAGCCTGGGCAACAGAGTGAGACTCCAACTCACAAAAAAAGAAAAAATATTTGTTACCTACAGTTAATAAAATCACTCTTCTAGCAAAGATTCAACCCTAAAAGCCAACATAAGAAAACAGTTCTGAGGTGTTTTGGTTTGATTTGGTGGTGATGTTCATTGACCTCACTTCCTGGTCCTCATTGACATCAGTGACCAATGTATTGAGGTGTGGGTTTGTTTGTTGTTTGTTTTTTGGTCAAGGCAATACTTTTGATTAATACATGTTCTATATCTTTTCTCATACCCACATCTTCTCTGTATTATGTGAGAGATTCCCTGGGTTCTCTCAACAGAGCCTTTTCCAAATTCTTGGAGGTCCACCTCTACCTGGAAGGGAGGTGGCCTGTTGTTTTGAAGCGTCTACCTCAGGCCTGGTCCTTCTTTCCCAGGAAACTTTTTGCTTATATGCTGCTTCCAGAGAAAGAGGTGGAAAGAACCTCTTCCCCATACCTCCAGAGTAACAGGAAGAGCTTTCTGATTGAACAGTCCTTGCTCACATGTCCCACCTGGGGCTGGAGAAGCAGTGAAGGGAATCAGTGTTCTCAGAGCCACAAGGGGTGGTTCTCCACGGGAGGAGTCTTGTGTAGACAAACAGCATATGTCCCTCCAGAACAACCACCATTTCCACATGTACTGAGCATTCCCGGAGAGAGGCTCTAATGGATTGACATGAAGCGTTGATTAAGAACTTGAGTTTTCCAGGCAGCTTGAATTCCAGCTTTTCAAGTACAAATTACAGGTCTTAGTGGTTAATCTCTATAAATCTCAGAAACTTTACTTGTAAAATGGTGATAATCGTTCTTACCTGATAGGAACTGCTAAGAAAATTAAATGAAATGTTACTGTAGGCATTCAGTACGGTTCCTGGTGTATAATAAGTGCTCGGTAAAAGTCAGAGACAATGAAAACAATGATGATAACTCATTATGAAGGGACTCCTTTGGGCAAAGCTTCATTCCAAACCAGCAAAAAGCAGCTGGCTTACTCACGTTCGGCTTTGTAAGCTTGCATGTGGTTGCCTTTGACTCAAACAAAATCCCTGACCCAAGCCGGGCTTGGTGGCTCAGCCTGTAATCCCAGCACTTTGGGAGGCTGAGGTGAGTGGATTGCCTAAGCCCGCGGGTTCGAGACCCGCCTGGGCAACTTGGCGAGACCTCATCTCTACAATAAGTCAAAATGAGCCGGGCGTGGTAGCACACACCTGTAGTTCCAGCTACTTGGAAGGCTGAGGCGGAAGGATTGCCGGAGCCCAGCAGGTCAAGGCTGCGGTGGCCAGGAGCGAGCCACTGCACTCCAGTCTGGGTGACAGAATGAGACTCCAACTCAAAAAAAAAAGAAAAAAAAAAAAAAAAATCCCTGACCCAATCCAACATTCCAACATGGGCAGGTGAGTGGAACTGGTTTCATTCAATAAGTAGCATCATTCCTGCAACTTTGTAAAGACCTTCTTGGGTCTGCTTTCCTCAGCAAAGAGATGCAGGAAGATGGGCTAACTGAACTTTATGAGATCCTTGACATGGTATTAATCATATTAGTACCTGCCCATTATTGTTCTAGTAACCTAACTTTTTAAAATTTTTAAATTATTTATTAATTTAATTTAATTTTTTTTTTTTTTTTTTTTTAGAAATGAGATTTTGCTATGTTTCCCAGGCTGGCTGGTCTCCAACTCCTGGGCTCAAGCAATCTTCCCACCTCGGCCTCCCAAAGTGCCGTAATTACAGGTATAAGCCATCACTCTCAGTCTTCATTTTTATACTTGTATATTTGGGGAAAATTCTACACTATGTGACCTTCATTCCCCATAGTGTTGAATTCCCAGCCTTCCTTGTAGCTGAGACGAAGGCATGTGACCTGGACCACACCGATCATGTGCACTTACATCAGACATGGGTCAAAACATTGACATGAGCAAAGAGGTTCTGGGATGGGTGCTCGTTCTGTAGCAACAGAGGTGTCTGTCCTCTGGGGCAGGAGTGTTGCAAGGTGGAATCTCCCTGGGCAAAAAGGCACTGGAGGTGCTCACAGCAGCGGTGACTGCAGTAAGTTCAAGTACCTGCATTTAGTGCTCAGTCTTAGTGGCAGCATTGGTGACAGATGTATTTCTCACTGGGGCATTTCTGAGGCAAGGTTTTGGCCATTCTTTGGGGGAAATTCACTTTAAGACTGTCTGCACAATTCTTTTTTTTTTTTCAGTTGGAGTCTCACTCCGTCACCCAGGGTGGAGTGCAGTGGCACATTCACGGCCACACCTGCATCAACCTACTGGGATCTGGAAATCCTTCTGCCTCAGCCTTCCAAGTAGTCAGAACTACAAGAGCGTGCTACCACTCCTGGCTATTTTTTTTTTAATTTACTGTAGAGATGAGGTCTCGCCAAGTTGCCCCAGCTGGTCTCGAACCCTTGGGCTCAGGCAATCCATTCGCATCGGCCTCCCAAAGTGCTGGGATTACAGGCTGAGCCACCAAGCCCCACAATCCTCTTAATGGTATGTGAACTATCTGTTTTTTTAAAATACATTCCCTGTATCCCGCGCCTTTGGGAGGCTGAGGTGAATGGATTGCCTGAGCCCGCGGGTTCAAGGCCCGCCTGGACAGCGAGACCTCATCTCTACAATAAAAATCAAAAAATCAGCCGGGCATGGTAGTGCATGCCTGTAGTTCCAGCTACCTGGAAGGCTGAGGCGGAAGGATCGCCGGAGCCCAGCAGGTCGAGGCTGCGGTGGCCGGGAGCAGCCACTGCACTCCAGTCTGGGCGACAGAGTGCGACTCCAACTTAAAAAATAAAAAATAAAAAATAAAAAAAAATAAAATATAATATAATATAATATAATAAAATACATCCCTTTTACAGCTCGATCCAACAGAGTGGACTCACTCTGAACGGGCTCAGTTGTTTGTAACTAAGAAGTCTGACCAGTATAATTCTGGGGGTCTACTTTTCCTCCTAATGTATGTTTACAAACATAAAAAATAATTGAACTAGCTTTTAATTCTAAAAATCCTTGAACACAAGAGTCGCTACAGCTTGGATCTGTGCACAAGAATTCAAAGATCATTGGGAGTTTCTAAATGTTGATAGTATCTAACAAGCTGAATTCTGAAAAGGCATCTCTGTCAGTGCAATATTAATATCATAACTGCACACTATTATTTTTTTTCCCAGATAAAAGAAAATTGGAAAAGTCCATTCTAATAGTTTTTTGTTCGTTTGTTTTTTGGTTTTGAATTGGAGTCTCACTCTGTCGTCCAGGCTGGAGTGCAGTGGCATGCTCACGGCCACCCCAGCATGAACCTGCTGGACTCAGGCAATCCTACCTCAGCCTTCCAAGTAGCTGGAACTACAGGCGCGCACTGCCACGCCTGGCACATTTTTTATTTTATTGTAGAGACGAGGTCTCACCAAGTTGCCCGAGCTGGCCATTCTGATAGTTCTAAAGAACTACAGACATTATGGAAATATCATGAACACTGTATCATCACTAATAGGCTGTGTAAGAGGAATTTCACACTAATGGCTTTCCGGATACTTTTCAATCCTTTTATACATTTATAACACTTATAAGTCTAGAGACCCCTGTGGTACAGCAGGAGCAGTGTCACATTCAAGGAAGCACAGACCACACCGGAGTTCCAGATATGGCTCATGCCTCGTCCATTGCAAAAGAAGAAAAAGAAGACTTTTTGTAAAAAGAACACTTTAGGTTAGGTGTGGTGACTCACACCTGTAATCCCAACAATTTAGGAGGCCAAGATAGGAGGATTGCTTGAGCCCAGGAGTTGGAGACCAGCTTGGGCAACGTAGTGAGACCTAGTCTCTACAAAATATATAAAAATTAGCAGGGCATGGTGATGCACAACTATAGTCTGACCTGCTTGGGGGGCTGAGATAGGAGGATCTCTTGAGCCCAGGAGGTCAGCAGGCTGTGGTGAGCTGGGATCATGCCATTGCACTTCAGCCTGGGTGACAGAGTGAGACCCTGTCTCAAAAAAGAAAAAAGAAAACACCATAAACTCCCATTATTTCCTCTCCCTCTCAATCTGATGCACTGCCCTAGGTTGGTATTCAGGCACATTTCAAGATCATCAGAGATTATCCATAACTTAGGTTAGTTGTTTCAGAAAAGTCCACTTATTTATTTAAAATAGGCTCCAAATTTTCACAATAGATATTGAAAAAGTGTTTAGGATTTTATCTTAAAAAAGGAAACTGATAATTAGAAAATTAAATTTGTTTTGTATGTATCAAAATTTCAGTTCTATTTGAAACTATTTGAGGAGGGACTCCCCCAAAAAGAAATCATTTTTTGGAGAGGAGACCCCTTTTAGTACAAGCTTCCTCCTGTAGGTAAGTGTTCCTCCTGTAGGTAAATCCATCAGCATCAGTGTACCAGCTAGCGTTCTTGTGAGAGGTTGCATGTGGTTTCAGTGAGGTTTTTTATTTTTATTTTGGAGATTCTTTCAGTGTGTTTGTCCATTTCATGATGGGTGATTTACACAAAAAACCTGTCCACATCACTCTGAGTGTTCAGCAGTTTTTGACCAAAAGCAGCATGACCCCCGTGCCTCACCCTCTCTATTCACCCGACCTCACCCCAACAGACTTGTTTTGTTTCCCAGATGAAAAAAGTCCTCAGAGGGAACTGTTCTGCTGACATGGAAGAGGTGAAACAAAAAGTGGCAGAAGCACTGAAAGGCATCAAAATTGACGAGTTCAAAAACTGTTTGGAGAGTAGAAAAAGTGTCTCAATAGGCGTATTGCATTAAACAGAGAGTACTTTGAAGGTGACTGAAGTTTAAACATGCAAGAAGTACACAATTTTTAAAAAACAGATTCTGGGCTTCTGGGGGTCCCCCCTCATATGCTAACTCTCCTGAATCAATGTGAATTTTTTAAAGCATGATTTCCCCGACAAAATCGAATTATAGCAAAGTACAAACATCCTTCTCTTCACTTTTTACTTTTTTTTTTTTTGAGTTGGAGTCTCACTCTGTCACCCAGACTGGAGTGCAGTGGCTCGCTCCCGGCCACCGCAGCCTCGACCTGCTGGGCTCCGGCAATCCTTCCGCCTCAGCCTTCCAAGGAACCAGAATTACAGGCATGCGCTACCACGCCCGGTTGATTTTTTGATTTATTGTAGAGAGGAGGTCTCCCTGCCCAGGCGGGTCTCGAACCCGCGGGCTCAGGCAATCCACTCACCTCAGCCTCCCAAAGGCGCGGGATTACAGGCTGAGCCACCGATCCTGGCCACTTTTTACTTTTTCAGCGTTATAACATAGATTACTTTTGGAAAAGTATTATAGGGCTTTTTCATTTTTCTCATGAAGTTGTTCACTAGAGCATCTCATCTAGACATTCATTTGTCCAAAAGAGCCCATCATTCTTCCACTTTTTCAACATCACTTGCATTCATCTTGTGAAGTTCTGGATTTTTTTTTTTTTTACAAGATCAGTACTGACTGCACAATGAAATGAATGTGCATCGGATTTACATTGCATTTTTGGATGTTTACAAGACTGATGAATTAGTTAGAGACTAACTGACAATGCTGTTGATCTACTGGGCCCAGCCAGATGCTAGTATTATGTAGTAAGAAATGTTTGTGTGGGGCTTGATTTTATAAGCGATTAGTTCATTGGTGAATATTTTCATTATTCTCATGATTTTGATATTGTGTATAACCTGGTAACTGCAGAGACTGGACAATATATACTTTGGATAATAAGGATCATTTCACCAACCACTCTGTTTTTTTTTTTTTTTTTTGAGAATCTACCCACAGGGCTTTTGTCCTCTCTCCCTCTCCCATTTCCTACTGCCTGGAGTTCCATAGCTCTCTGTCCATTATACAAATTCTGTATCACAAAATCCAAAAATTGGTCTTGCAGAGATGGACCTTACAAACACCTTCAGAGACCACTTGGGTGTCTCTCAATTTTAGCGTATTAAGCTTCTCAGGACATGTAAGGTTTATAATTTTGGTCAGAACTGTAGTTCCAAGTCAAATGTGTGTTTTTAGAGCAAATAATATGGGTCTTGGTAAACTTTAAAATCACATGGTAAAATCAATGTCTTTTTTATGTGTCAGCAACAACAGAATGATCAGTGTTAATCTTAAATCTTTAGTGAGGATATGAATACATTCATCAGTCTATAAATTAAGAGAAGAAAATACTGTTGCATATTTATATTCAAGTAGTTTTCTATTTAAGCATGCTTAATACTTTGTTTTTTTCTTTTATATTTTGAAAACTTAGCTTAGTCCTAAAAATGAAGTACTTTCTGGCTATGAGGACTCCAAATCATTACCAGAAAGTAGATTGAGCAATATTTCCACTTTATAATTTAAAATTATGACTTTTAAATAAACTATCATCTAAAGCACTTATGTTATTGGATAACAAATTCTTGAAATGTGTGCAAAATAAACAACCATTTATTTTCCTCTTTGCTGTTTTTAAGAAATTTTTATTGGGTTGAGGGTGTTTCAGGATATAATGCAGTTTGCCAAATTCTGTAATCCTTTTTTTTTTAATGTCATACAGGGTGTGGTGCCTTTAGAGAAATTTGAAAAGTTGTAGTTTATGATGTTTTTCTCCTTCACTTTTTCAAAAATGGTAAGATAATCTAAATCCTGCAGGAACATTCTGGTTCCTAGTATAGGCTTCTGGGTTCCCCACTACTAAATGTGAAATTATTTCCGATAGCCAATTTTACTTATTACCTTGCAGGGGTGTTTATGTTCTTAACGTTACAAGCTCATTATTAGAAATGAAGTCTTGACAAACCCTACTTTAATGCTTAATTTTTTCTGCTTAGAAAGGTGAAAATAATTTAGAAGAAACAACACAAATGAAGTATCAAAACTAAGTTATATTTCCCATAGGTGGTGTGGTTATCGAAAATCTCAATGAATCCATTCTACTCTTGTTATTCTTGCATCAATCCCTGGTTATTGAGAAGCACTTAATAGAATAAATGTTTGCAATTCTTTTTCTTGTAGTCAAGTAAAGAAATGCTTTGATTCCCTAAGGCTAGGATTGTTCTGAGAAAAACAAAGCCTCTGTAAATCTTCACCGGTCAATACTCCAGAAAGAGGCTGCTGGAAAAAGGTCTTCTAAGAACAGACGGATGCCAGCAGAGAAACACCATTTTCAGGGACATTCCATGGGACGGTGAGATTTGGTTCTGTCCCGAGTATCTGACATTTAATGACAGTTCACACACAGATCGCTTGCCTGAGAACCCGTGTCTAAATTTCCCTGCACAAACCACCTCCCTTGCCAATCTCCTACACCAGTAAAAACAGAAAATAATCCCCTGGGATTGGGTGTGTGAGTGCGAGTGTGTTGAAAGAGAATAAGCATAAGTGCAGGAGTTAAAACACGACAGAATCCCTCTTTTCCTGTCCTCTTTCTTTCCTTTGATCTGGGTGCTTGAAAGAGACAAAGGGGGACCCCGGGTTTTCCAGCATTCAGCAAGCGCTCATACTTTTTTTTTTTTTTTTTTAAGTAACTGGGAGAAACACTCCCCCAGAGCAAACCACGAAGCCCCCACTCCCCACCCCGCGGTCGCCGTGGATCTCGGGCCGGGCCGCCCCGGCGCCACCCCGCAGGGGGC